ACTGAAGCACAGAGAGGTTAAATAACTTAGCTGAAGCTATTAACCAGCAAAGCCAGAATCTAAGTTCAGGCTGCCTAAGAGTCCATGCTCTTAACCACTGCCCTACACGGCACATTGCTGTATGGATTATCTAGAGAAGGCAGAGGGATCAGCCAGTGCAAAGGCCCTGAGGCCAAAATGGTGCCTGGCATGTTGGCAAAATCGCTAGGAGTCCAGCCTGTCTGGAGCAGTGAGTGAGGGGCAGAGAGGGGAAGTGAGGGCACAGAATGGCACGGACCACCACATCACGTGGGGCCAGGGGAGGATTTCGGGTTTTACTCCCCAGGAAGTGGGAGCCATGAGAGAATTCTGAGCAGAAGAGGGACTTAGATTTTTTTAGGGGGTGTGGGGTTACAGCTCTATTGAGATGTAATTCACATACCATAAAAACTCATCCATATAAAACAGTATAGAGTGCAATGGGGCTTTTTTCGAAAAAAATTTTTCTTGTGATGAGAATTTTTAAGATCTACTCTCTCAGCAACTTTCAAATATGCAATACAGTAATAATATTATTAACTGTAGTCACTATGCTGTACATTACATCCCCGTGACACTTATTTTATAACTGAAGTTTGTACCTTTTGACGGCCGGCACCCGTTTTGCCCATCCCCCACCTCTGGCAACCACCCATCTGTTCTCTGTATCTGTGAGGTCAGGTTTTTCTCTTTTTCTTTTTATATTCACATATAAGTGAGATCGTACAGTATTTTTTTTCTGTCTGGCTTATTTCACTTAGCAGAAGCCTCTCGAGTTTCATCCATGTTGTCACAAACGGCAAGATTTCTTTCCTTTTTATGGCTGAATAATATTCCACTGTGTATATATCCATTCATCCACTGATGGGCACTTGGGTTGCTTCCACATCTTGGCTATTGTAAAGAATGCTGCAATGCACATAGGGGTGCATATGTCTTCTTGAGTTAGTTTGTTTTCTTTGGGTAAATACCCAGTAGCAGAGTTCCTGGATCCTATGGTATTTCTATTTCTCATTTTTTGAGGAAACTCCATACTATTTTCCACAGTGGCTGCAGCAATTTACATTCCCACCAACAGTGTACAAGGGTTCCCTTTTCTCCACATCCTTGTCAACACTTATTTCTTGTCTTTTCACCAATAGCTATTCTATCAAGTGTGAGGTGATATCTCTCTCTCTCTCTTTTTTTTTTTTTTTTGAGGAAGATTAGCCCTGATCTAACTGCTGCCAATCCTCCTCTTTTTGCTGAGGAAGACTGGCCCTGAGCTAACATCCGTGCCCATCTTCCTCCACTTTATATGTGGGACGCCTCCCACAGCACGGCATGCCAAGCGGTGCCATGTCCGCACCCGGGATCTGAACCGGCGAACCCCGGGCCGTGGAAGCGGAACGTGCGCACTTAACCGCTGCGCCACCGGGCCGGCCCCCTAATTGCGGTTTTGACTTGCATTTTCCTGATGATTAATGATGTTGAGCACCTTTTCATGGGCCTGTTGGCCATCTGTATATCTTCTTTGAAAAAGGTCACTTCAGATCCTCTGCTCACTTTTTCATCACATTGTTTGTTCTTTTGCTGTTGAGTTGTATGAGTTCTTTATATATTTTGGATATTAACCCCTTATCAGATATATGACTTGCAAATATTTTCTCCCAGGCAGTAGGTCGCCTTTTCATTTGGTTGTTTCCTTTGCTGTGCAGGAGACTTTTAGTTTGATGTGGTCCCACTTGTTTATTTTCGCTTTTGTTGCTTTTGATTTGGTGTCAAATCCAAAACATCGTTGCCAAGACCAACGTCAAGAAGCTCGCTGCCTAAGTTTTCTTCTAGGAGTTTTATGGTTTCAGGTCTTACATTCAAGTCTTTAGTTCATTTTGAGTTGCTTTTTGTGCATGGTGTAAGATCGTGGTCCAGTTTCATGCTTTTGCATGTGGCTGTCCAGTTTTCCCAAAACCACTTGTTGAAGAGACTGTCCTTGCCCCATTATGTTTTCTTGGCTCCTTTGTCATAAATTAATTGATTACATATGCATGGGTTTATTTCTGGCTCTTTATTCTGTTCCATTGATCTATGTGTCTGGTTTTTTTTTGTTGTTGTTTTTTGAGGAAGATTAGCCCTGAGCTAACTGCTGCCAATCCTCCTCTTTTTGCTGAGGAAGACTGGCCCTGAGCTAACATCCGTGCCCATCTTCCTCTACTTTATATGTGGGACACCTACCACAGCATGGCTTGCCAAGCGGTGCCATGTCCGCACCCGGGCCCTGAACCGGTGAATCCTGGGCTGCTGAAGTGGAAAGTGCACACTTAACCGCTGTGCCACCGGGCCGGCCCCTATGTGTCTGTTTTTATGCCAATACTGTACTGTTTTGATTGCTATAGCTTTGTAATATAGTTTGAAATCAGGAAGTGTGATGTTTCCAGCATTGTTCTTCTTTCTCAAGATTGCTTTAACTATTCAGGGTCTTTTGTGGTTCCATACAAATTTTAGGGTTGTTTGTTCTATTTCTGTGAAAAATGCCATTGGAATTTTGATAAGGAGTGCATTGAATCTGTAGATGGCTTTGGGTAGTATGGACATTCTAACAATAGAGATTCTTTCAATCCATGAGTGTGGAATAGCTTTCCATTTATTCATGTCTTCTTCAATTTCTTTCATCAATATCTCGTCAATGGCTTTTTGTATAGTCACAGGACTGTGCAACCATCACCACAGTAAACTTCAGAACATTTTGTCACCTCAGATAGAAACTCTGCACCCCTTTGCTGTCATTCTCCAATCTCCCAGCCCCTGGGAACCACTAATCTACTTTTGTCTGCATAGATTTGCCTAATCTGGACATATAGAAGGAATCATGCAGTATGTGGTCTTTTGTGACTGGCTTCTTTCGCTTAGCATAATGTTTTCAAAGTTCACCCATGTCACAACTTGTGTCTATACTTGGTTTCTTTTTATTGCCACATGATATCCCATTGTTTGGATACACCACAACTTAGTTTATCCACTCATCAGTTGATGGGCATTCGGGTTGTTTCCACTTTTGGGCTATTTTGAATAACGCTGCTGTGAACACTTGTGTACAAGTTTTTGTGTGGACATATATGTTCATTTCTCTCAGGGAGACATTCAGGAGCGGAATTGCTGGGTCACATGGTAACTCTTTTTAACCTTTGAGGAAGTGCCAGACTGCTTCCTAAAGGGGCTGCCCCATTTTACATTCCCACCAGCGGTGTGTGAGGGTTCCAATTTCTCCACCTCCTCACCAACGCTTGCTGTTATCTGGGGGCTTCGTTTCAAACAGGGTCCCTCTGGCTGCTCTGTGAGGACCAGGCTGAAGGAGACGGAGTTGAAGCGGGGAACCCAGTGAACGACTGTAATAGTGCCAGCGGGAGGGCGTGGTGGCTGGACCAGAGTAGGGGAGCAGAGGAGGTGAGAACTGACTGGGTTGTGGAGCCTTCGAAGATGGAGCTAATGGCCTTTGTTGTGAGAGAGAGAGAGAGGCGAGTTAAGAAGGACCCCAAAGGCTTGCTAACAACTGAGATGGCTAAGGCTGCGGTAGGAGAGGGTTTGGGGGGGTGGGTGGGATGGGGGGGGATCAGCAGCTCAGTTTGGGATGCCTTGAGTTTGAGATGCCCGCCAGACACCCAGGTGGGAATATCCAGTAGGGACTGGAGACTCGATCCGCCTCCTAGCATTACTGTTGGCGTTCATTGCACGTTTCTTGAATAATTAAAGCCAGGAGTGAATCCGAATCCAGGGTCCCCGTGTCCCCCTCCAAAAAATGGGGACAATAGCCCCCTGACCACTAGGCTGTCAGGAGGCTGCGGCGGTTCTTGTGCAGCACGGGGCAGGATTGCACACCTGGCAGCCAAGCTTATGCGCAGGGTGAACAGACGACTGAGGCCTGCAGCTCGGCAGAGAAGTGGAGGTTCCGCTCGGTTCAGGCGGCGTCGTCTCTCCGTCTCCCGCAGCCTCTGGCTGCCGTCGGGGAGGGGGAGGAGACATTGGGTCGTCACCCTGTCTTCCCCTGCTCTGAGCTGGGTTTCCTCCTCGAGGGCCGCCCGGGCCAAAACTGCTGATGGAAACCAGCTGCAGGAGGCGCCCAGGCTCGGCGCACGCCCAGGCCCCTCCCCGGCGCCGGCCGACCCCGCTAAGAGGGGGGGTGACGAGGGCGCCCCAGCTCCCCTTCCCCCTTCCGCAGCCGGGCCCCGGGCCCTGGCACGTCCGGCGCGCCTGATGCTTTCCAGATGTGAGCCTGGTTCCCCTCCCCCACCTGGCCCCGATCCTCCTGCGGGGGAGGTGGGACTGGAGCCAGGGTCCGATACCCCCCTATCAAATGGCTACCAAGGACCTGGGCCGATGTCCCCTCCCTGCCTGTCTCCCTTCCCTGTCCCGGCGCTAAAAACCGATTTGGGAGGAGCAGACTGCGGTAGAGACGCTCCTCCCCCACCTCCGCCTCTTCCCAGGGCTCCAGCCTCCGCCCCTCCGCCTCTGGTCTCGGGATCCAGCCGCAAGACCCGCCCCTCGGGGCACACGGCCCCAGGCCCCGCCCATGACACGCCCCTTCAGAAAACCCCGCCCAAAGCCACGCCCCCGAGAACGCGCCCAGGCGCCCCGCCCCCAAGACTCGCCCCCTCAAAAAAGCCCCGCCCAAAGACCACGCCCCTTCGGACGCGCTCCAGAGGCCCCGCCCAGGACACGCCCCCTCCAAAAAGACCACGCCCCTGAGATAACGCGCCCCCCGAGGCCACGCCCCTGGGACGCGCCTCTGCAGACCTGTGCCCCGCGGAAGGCGCGTTCTGCGGGTCTGCTGTCTGCCTGCATCTGGGTGTCCGTGTTTCTCGGTCCCTGTCTGTGACTGCTACATTTCCGTGTGTCTCTCCTGCACCCTGAGTGTCTCTGTGTCTCTCTGCCGTCCTCTGTCTCTGTCTCCCTGAGTGCTTAGATGTCTCTCTCTAGATTTCTGTGTCCTTCTTTCTCTCTGCGTCTCTCCCCGCATCTCCCCTTCTCTCTGAATTTCTCTGCGTCCCCGTCCATCTTCAGGTCTCTCCCTCTAGCCCCTCCGCCTCTCTCTGTCTCTGTCCCTCTCTGCCGCCTGCGTCCCCCGCCGGCCCGCGGGGGCGCCCTGCCTTCCCTGGTTCCACTCATTCAGACGGCTTCGGCGGCGCCGGCGGGGTGGGCGGCTCGGCGGGCCGCGGGCGCCCCCGTGTGGCTGGCACGGGGCGGTCCGGAGAGGCCAGAGATCGGAGTGGGTGCAGGAGGGACGCTGAGGGTGTCCCGGAGCTGGTGTGTAACCCCAGGGGACTGTGCGAGCGCGTGCTACTGTGGGGTTGTGCGTGATGCCAGAGGTGGTGTGCCGCTCCGTGAGCTTGTGAGATTTTGTGTGACAATCAGAGACTGCGTGTGACTGTGGGAAATCGTGTTGCGCCTTGAGGATGTGTGTGTGTGACTGTGTATGTGAGATGAGAGAGATGACGTAGAGGTGACTGTGTGTGACACTGTGACGTCGGGTGTGCCTGGGACACTATTTAGGAGACAGTTTGTGACATCCAGAGACATAGGGGAGAGTGGGAGATTGTGAGAGCGTGCAACGTGGTGAGGACATGAGCGCTGTGTGTGTCACGTGAGCAGATGCTGTATTAGAGAGAGTAATTATGAATGAAGGTGACACCAAGAGATGGTGTCAGAAGGCGGTGTGAGAGGCCCCTGGAGGACTGGGTGTGACAGAGAGGCTGTGTGAGTGTGAGACACTAGGTGTCAGCCACACTGATGATCTGTGAGGAACCGTGTGTGACTGTGTGTGACACAGATCGCGTGGGATGCTGAGACAGTGTTGCGACGGTGAGTGAGAGAGTGTGCAACTGTGCAGGGCACTCAGAGATGAGAGTGAGAGAGAGAGACCTTGTGTGTGTAAGTGTGCAACACCGGGAGATTGCTGTGTGTGGGCGATGGCTGTGTGTGAGACAGACTGAGTGAGGCTGAGCAAGAGATCCTGTATGTGACAGTGTGTGGGGGCACACTGTGTGACTCTGTGTGAGGGAATGTGTGTGACAACGAGAGATTGTGCAAGAATGAGTGTGCCTGTTTGTGGGAGTCAGTGGAGATGTGACTGTGTTACTGTGTCATACTACCAAAAATGTGACACTGCTCGACACAGAGGCAGCCCGGGAAATGACAGGTCCTCGTGTGAGACACTGAGAAAGCGTGTGTGAGGCTGTGATAGGGTGTGAGACAGAAGGAACTCTCCATTCATGGCAACGTGTGTGACATCTTGAGAGATCGTGTGTGACACTGCGGAACTGGTTTGCACCCTTGACACTCTGGATGGCATATCTGATGGTGGTTGTGCGAGATGTCATTGGCGATGATGTGCCACCCTGTGAGAGGTTGTGAGGGACTGTGGGTGGCATTTTGAGAGCCCGTGTGACTGTGGCGCTGTGAGAGGTTGTGTGTTGAGCACAGGTTGATTGTGAGATTGTGAGACTGGGGGACCCAGCGAGATATTGTGCATCTCCATGCAAAGGACCACGAGTGTGAGCCTGTGTGCTGAGAGGGGTCGTCTGAGATGGGGTGACACCGAGGTGATGGGGGTAACAGGGTGGGAGAGAGCATGTGTGATGGAGCAAGAGCCCGTGCGGGACACACAGGAGGGATTTGTGTGGCTGTGGCATAAATGCAGCAGGGCGTGGGGCACACCTCGGGAGGCTGTCTTTTCATGTGTGTGAGAGAGACAGAGACAGAGAGAGATGGAGAGGAGACACTGGGAGAGAGATGGAGAGAGACACAGAGAGCGGAGGAGACAGAGACACAGAAACGGAAAGACAAAGAGTGGGACAGACAGACATGGACAGAGGACCCAGAGAGACAGACCCAGCGGTAGAGACAGCGGGAGGAGGCGGGTCCTCAGGGGCTGCGCCCCAGGGGAGGGGGCGGGGCGGAGCTGGGGCGGGGGGACCCAAAGGCTGCCTCCCAGCCTCTGCCACCAGCCCGCCATCCCAGCCCTGAGCAGCAACAGGTAGGAGCTCCGGTCCTGCCCCAACAGCGGGTCCCTCTGCCCCATCCGGTCACTGGCTGTCTGCCTGGGAATGAACGAATGAGTGAGTGAATGAATGACTTTACGCTTCTGCGTCTCCGTCAACCTGTTTCTCCCCCAGTCCCTCCATCTCCCTCTGTCTGTCCCCTGTCCCTTCTCTCCTCTGTCCCTTTACCCCCCAGTGCCTCTCTCTCCCCGTCTATCACTGTCCCTTTCTCTACCCCTCCATTTGTCCCTCTCTGTCCTCTCCCACCCCATCTCTCCATCTCCCCTGCACCCCTCCATCTCCCCTTCTCTATCCCCCCTCTGTCACTTTGTCCCCTTTGTTCCTCTCCCTTGTATCATCTGTCCCTTCCTTTGCCTCTCTATTTGTCCGGCTCTACTCCCTCCATCGCTTCATCCCCCAATCTCTCCATCTCTCTTTCTACCTCCTCCGACTCTTTCCCTCTATGCCTCACTCTCTCCCTCTGTCACTTATGTCCCCCTCTGCCCCTCCATTTGTCCCTCTCTCCATCCTCTCTGCCCCTCTCCCAGTCATGCCTGGGTTGGGCCCTCCTGGATCCCCCCAGCCCTGTCTCCAGCTGCTAATGAGCAGAGGAGTCTTTGAGGTGGCCACGGCTGGGGTGGGGGGGCTCCCCGAGGGGGGCGGAGGGGGCAGCTGCTGCCTCGGCCCTAATGAGGCCCCCTCTGCGCCCCTCCCGCCGTGATCTTAATTCCTTGTTCTCCCTGGAGCCTCTGCTAATTGGCCTGGGGAGGGCCCCCCTCCTGGCTGGTGCCCTGTCACCGGGGGCTGAGGACACCTGGATCCTGATCCAGCACCTGTGGCCCTGTCCTTCTGTCGCTCCCTCCACCTGCCTCTCAGCCTCTCATCTGTGCTTCCCTCCTGCCTCTCTCTGTTCCTCCCTCCTCCACCTGCCTCTGGGTACCCCATCTGTGCACCCCTCCATCCCTCCTCTTGCCTCTCTCCTCCCTGTTCATCTGTGCCTCCTTCGGCCTGCCTCTTGGTCCCTCATCTGTGCGTCTCTTCGTCTCTCCCCTTTTCCCTCTGTTTTCCTGTCCCTTCCTCCACCCGCCTCTGGGCACCCCATCCGTGCGCCCTTCCACCCACATCCCTGTGACTAGGGCCCACCACCACCGCCACCCTTACCTGGGGATCCAGACTTGCCCACCCCGTGAACCCCTACTCCCGCCCGGCTTTTAACCCCTTCCCCGCCGCAGCCATGTCCAACAACATGGCCAAGATCGCGGAGGCCCGCAAGACGGTGGAACAGCTGAAGCTGGAGGTGAACATCGACCGCATGAAGGTGCTGGGTCGGGGAGGGGAGGAAGGCGGGGGCTCTGGGGCTCGGGTCTGGACAGGGCGGGGTTGGCGGGTGGGGCCCGGAGCCGCGGTGGGAAGATCCCCTGCGCCACAGGGCTGGACCCGAGGCGGGGCGGGACCGGACAGGGGCGGACCTAGGGAGGGGCCCAGGGGCGGGGCTTTGGGGCGGGGCGGGGCCGGGGAAGGAGAGGGAGCCCGGACAGAGGCGGGGCCTGATGAGGGGCGTGGCTAGGGTGGGGTCTTGGGGCAGAGCGGAGCCTGCGGTGGGGCGGGGCCTGGAAAGGGGCGGTGCCGGACAAGGGGAGGGAGCCCGGACAGGGGCGGGGCCTGATAAGGGGCGTGGCTAGAGTGGGGCCTTGGGCGGGGCGGAGCCTGATGGGGGCGGGGCCGGGAACTGGGCGGGGCCTGGGGCAGGGCGGGGCGTGGACTTCACCCGGCCGCCCGCAGGTGTCGCAGGCGGCGGCCGAGCTCCTATCGTTCTGCGAGACGCACGCTAAAGACGACCCGCTGGTGACGCCGGTGCCGGCCGCAGAGAACCCCTTCCGCGACAAGCGCCTCTTCTGCGTCCTGCTCTGAGCCTTCCCGACAGCCTACCCTCCCCTGCCAAAGTATGAATCCAATAAACGTGGTGACTGTGTTGGTTCCTGTGCTGTCGGGGAAACTGAGGCACGCGCAGAGCCTGGGGCCACCGTGGGGGAACCTGTGTTCCTTCTCATCTTTTCTGAGTGCGTGTGGAGTGTGGAGGAGTGGGGGTGAGGATGTCCTGGGTGTCTCAGCACCCAGGAGGTAATGGGGTGAAGACTGTGGACTCCAGCGGGCCGCAACCCTCAGCTGGCCTCGCTCCTCTGCTCCCTCCTGGGCTGGAGATTCTAGGAGCCCGGGTGCTGGTCCCACCTTTTTCATCCCCTGAATGACTCCACCCCTTTTTCCCCATCTGGCTGCCCCCTGCCACAGGCCTACCTCTGTCCTTAAGCACCGAACTCTGTTCATTTATTCATTCCTTCATTCCTTCTTCCAAGGACTCCCTGAGTACCTGCTCTGTGACCCTCCTGTGCTGGGTGAACCTGGGGACATGGCTGTGACCGGCACAGCCCTGCCGCTGCCCTCCTGGGGCTCATAATCCAGTGGGAGAGACAGACCTGTCCCCAGCTAGTGATGACCCAGAGTGGGCAGGGCTGGGGTGGGGGACCCCAGAGGGGAGGCCTGACTCAGCCTGGGGGTCAGGGACGGCTTCCTGGAGGAGGGGACATCGAAGCTGGAACATGGTGGTAATAAAACTTGGGGACCCGGAGAAGAGAGAAGCGTGGCTAGAGGTAGAAGAGACAAAGCAATGTGTACATTTCTTCCTTCACCAATTATTTTGTCCTGGGGGACACAAGGGTGACTGTGACAGCTCTGGTTCCTGCCCTGTGTTTTCCACTTCACATATTGGTGGCCTACAGGGCATACATTGCCTGCAGTTATATATTTTTTGGCTTTCGTCTTTTGACCTATATAATGTTTAAAAATATTCTTGACTTGGTTGCCAGATTGAAAAATAGCAGTACTTCACATAAAAGTCCCTATTTCCAGCTTCTCCCGAATTGGAAGGTCTGGTGACCTCAGACAGGCACCGCCCCCCCAGGGTGACCACAGGCTGTGAGATGGGACCTGGGCTGTCCAGCCACCAAAGTCCCCACCATGCCCTATTGTCTCCCGATTAAGGAGGCTGAGGGCCAGTTACTCTTTATTCTGGAGCCTGTGTTGGGGACTTCCTCTAGAGGAATGAAAAGAAAGGTGAAACGTCTGTTGAAAGTGAGGAAATGCAGGCTGGGGGAGCTGTGGGTTTGCTTAATTATTTTACCTGGTTGACCTCAGGGCCACTGAGTTTGCAACACCCTCCCCTCTCCTCACCCCCCACCTCCTCTTCTCTCGAGACTAACACCCCTGCTTCTCAGCCTGGGGCTGACGGGGGGCTGGACCCCTGAGTCTGGATGGAGACGGTTCACGGGGCCTCCCCTCCCCAGAGGGGGCCGCGCATGCGTCGGCAAGTGTTCCATTATGCACATCGGATTAGGGTCCCCTGGGTCCCCACTCTGAGCTTCCTGTCGGATTGAGCAGCTGTAATTATATCTGCCTCCTGCCTCCCACCTCTCAGCCGGCTCCGGCCTGGTTGCATCATGTCTGGGGGAGCCCCCCGGGGAGACGGGGGTGCCAGAGAGAGCCAAAGATGAGCTGGGGGGCGGGGGGATGCTGGGAGGGAAGTTGCCAGAAGGATTCCAGAGTTTCTCCGACCCTGCACCCTAGAACGTGAAATGCGAAGGAATCCAGAATTCCAGGGCCCTGGACGGCTGGAATTCCGGAGTCTTTCAATCCTGTGGGGCCGGGATTCCGGGGTCCTGCGCCCTTGTCTGCCTGGGATCTGGAGCTTGGCCCTTAAGCCCTGGACTGCGGGCTTTAGACCCTGTCAGCCCTGGGGTCTTGGGGCTGCAGAGCGCAGATTCCTCCTCCTTCCACTCCTGGTCTTGAGGAATGGAAGCCGAAGAGGAGAAAGCAGCGCTGGGAGGCCCCTGCCTGCAGGAGGAGGGGGGCTGCGTGAGCCTGGCCTTGGTCACGACTAAGGCTGGGAGGGAGGGGAAGCCAGAGGGACAGGCAGGTCCCAAGTGACCAGCCTCCACGCATGCAAACCCGGATAACCTCGTTAGCTGGTATGACTCTGCAGCCCCAGCTGCTGGTCGCCCGCTGCTCCTTCCTGCGCCCCCAGCTGTGAGTCTCTGGGGTCGGAGCCAGGCCAAGGGACAGAGAGGCGAGCCCTCAGCGGTCACCTCCCACTTCACCCCAAACCCTGAGGGCATCAGCTGCCCCTCCCAGGCTGTCTTCCCTCTGAGGTTGGCATGGCTGCGGGTCTGGGGGCGGGGTAGCCCAGAGCCAGAATGAGGATTCATCACCATCATCACTTACTGAGTCCCTTTTCACAAGAGCTCCTCACTTAAATCTCTGATAGCCCCCAAAGGGACTCTGTTTATCCCCATTTCACAGACATGGGAAATAGGCACGAGAGGTGATGTCATTCGGCCACTTAGGCCCTGAGGTCGGAGTGGCAGCCTTGCATAAGTGTGCAGGATGGGCTGGACGTGGTCGGGGGCTTGAAGCACGGATGTGAGGGTGTCCCAGGTGAGGGTCACCGCCCAGGCAAAGGCTGGACAGGGACGACAGAGCGGAGCCCCCTGGAGCAGGGGTGGGAAGCTGCAGCTGGTAGGCAGACGGGCCCATTGGGGTGGAGAGAAGGGTGTGAGCAGAGAAAAACGGCCTCTGGCTGTCGAGGCTGGGACCTGCTGAGGAGGGACAGGTCGGGGTGCACACGGCAGCTTCCCGCAGCACTGAGAGGGCACAGGCGGGCGGCGGACATGGCGGGCGAGAGCAGCTGGTGGCACACATCATGGGGGCGGGGAGACAAGGTGGGGCCAGCTCCTTCCCAGGGCAGGGCCAGGAGGACAGAAACCAGGGAGCCAGCAGGGGGTCAGGCCCAGGGCAGGCTGGGATCTTAGGTCAGCGGTCCAGATGCAGGCCTGGGCAGGTGGTGGAGGCGCTGGCCGGCAGGCGTGGGTGAGGCCCCTGGGGCCCCATTTCCTGGCCGGCTTGGTGTTTGCTGTCTTGAGGACAGGGACCCAGATGGGAGTCTGGGCTGGTGTGGAATGACTCAGCTGAGGGCCTGCCATGCCTCTCCAGCTACATCCTTCCTCTCCCATCACATCGAGTGCCATTTGGGAACACGCCCCCATCAGATGGTGCCCTCTGAGCCCCTCTGCATCCGTGGCACACATTGTGTGCATTGGTGCACAGTAAGTGGGTTGGCGTTTGTTGAATGAATAATAATAATGCCAGCAGCTATGCGAGGGCTTCCTGGAGGCGGGCAGGGTGAATTTCGTCTCTCGTCTTCACATAAGGCTCCAAAAAGGGCAAGGATGACGGCTTCATTAAATGGCTATTTGATGAAGAACGTCAAAGCTGAGACAAGGGAAGTCATTTTCGAGCATCACACAGCACGTGACTGTGATGGTGGACGTAAGCTTCCTGATCCGCTCTCTTTCCCTTGCACCAGGCAGCCCCTCCACGTGCAAACACACGCGGGTGGACACAGCCAGAAAGAAACCCGTGAGCCCACCTTAAACGGATGCACGAAAAGACACAGGTGCACAAATAGACCTCAGAGAAAATAATGCCCATCTGCCGCCACAACACACACACGCTCTCACTCACCTTGTGGAAAAGATGCTCCTTAGGCCACGTAGGCCCCAATGATCCCACACAGACCCACACAGGAAGTTCACATGCCACAGTCCCTAGCACACCCGCTCCCGGGTGCCCGTGCCCCTCGGCTCCCGGGTGCTGTGTGTCCATTTCCGATTGTCTCTGGGCTGTCCTTCCTCTTCTGCTCGCTGCCCCGGGGCCTCTTGCGGGAGAGGCCCGAGTCCTGTTCCCAGAGGTGGGTGGAGGGACCAGAGCTGCTTACTCACCCACCCAGAGAAGTTCCTTCCCACAGCTCCCCGACTCCTGGGAGCCACCCCCAGAGCCCAGCTGGGGTGACCTGTGGGCTGGGCCTATGGGCCTGGCTGGGGCCACAGTTGGACAGGCAGCTGGGGGTCCCCGGAAGGTGAGTGGACGTGTGTCCGACACTGGCGTGGACCCTAGGGACCCTTAGTCCTTCCAACAGGAATGAGTGACAGTCACCGCCACCCCGCCTGCTCTGGAGCACAGAACTGATGCCAGGGCTGCAAAAGCTCCTGCCCCACAGCAGCAGAGGTGGGGAAACTGAGGCCTGGAGTCGGGCAGGGCACGTCTGAGGTCTCACTGAGCATGGGAGCAGAGTGGACTTCCTGAATGCTCAGCGGTCCCTGGTGGGGACAGGAAGTCAGTGGAAAGGAGGCTCTGGGACCCAGAGCTCCCCCACACCCCGCAACTGCCCTGATGCCCTGGCCCCCACTGGTGAGCTCCAGAGTCCAAGTGATGACTCAGGGATCCCGGGGCCACTGGGAGCTGCTAGGAAGGCAGAAGGACGCAAGCCTGCCAGGCGCCATCCTTCATTAATACCATATAACTTCCTGAGTTCCCTCTGCTCTGCCTGGAGACTGGGGAACATGAGAGGGGGACCACATAGCCAGGAGGCCCGAGACCTGCACACACAGGCACCCCCAAAATGGGGCTGTGTGGTGACTCTTAGAGCCCCTGGCGTGGCTGGAGCCGGGGCGTCCATCCTGCCGGAAGCTGGGGGTGACAGCTGGGCAGGGGTGATAGGGAGCGGGAGGGAAGGGGCGAGAGGGTTGTGGTCACTGAAGGATACGGGGATGGAGAGGGGAAGTCTGCGGCTGCCCACTGGTCCAGCCCTGGGAGTCGGCAGCATCCCCCGCTGGCCCAGGATGGGACATGACATCTGCATGGGCTCTCTCCTTGTTGCGAAGAGGGCTGTGGGATAGGCAGCTGGCCACGGTCGGCCACGAGGCCTGTGAAGCCGGTGTCCCCCCATTATACAGAAGAGGAAACTGAGATACACTGCCTGCGTCCTCGCCTGGGACCATCACACAGCAGCAAGCTGCTCGAGCTGGGACACGAACCCGAGTCAGAGGGAGGGAGCCCCCGAGTTTGTAATCTCTACACTGAAAAGTCAGGGGTGTCTGAGAGGCTCCCCTGGGTCCCTTCTGGCCCTTAGGGGCAGGGAGGCTGCCTGGGAAGCTGTGGGCTCAGTGGCAATGAGGACCAGCTGTGCTGGCAGCTGGGACATGCAGGCTGACCACGCTGGCCAGAGGGTGGCGGGGGTGTGTTTGGGGTGGGGTGGGAGAGATCAATGTGACAGCAGTGTTAGAGCCCTGGACGGCTGGCTGTAGCCAAAATATTATTCCTGGAGGTCAAGGTCACCAGAGCTTGACCGGGGGCCTGGGAGTGCTGGAGCAAGAGGCGAGAGGGTGGGTGGGAGGGCACTTCCCTTTGATGCTGAGCCCTGGAAGTCCCAGGGCCTGTCCCCTACCGCCTCAGTCCCTCCTCCCCCACGCCCCCTTCCCCGGGCTCTGCCCAGTGAGCGTGGGAGCTGGGAGCCTGAGGACGGGCTCCAGGGACTGGCGTTTTTCCTCTGGCCCGGCCACCTCCTTCCCCAGCCTTCTGGAAGGAGTGAATTGTGTTTAGGGAACAGAAATCTTGGTAGTGCCTGGAAATACTACATCAGGGAGGAATTTCCTGGTCATTTCTCAATCCCTGGGCAATGTCCTAACCCCGGGGCCTGGAGCCCAGAATAGATCCCAGGGACCACCCCCAGAAGGATTGCACACTGGTCAGCTGTGCCCCTCAGGTCCCATCCTGGCCCCCACTGGTGAGCTCTGGAGTCCGAGTGATGACTCAGGGGTCCCGGGGCCACTGGGAGCCGCTGGGAAGGCAGAAGGGCAGAGACTGGTGTTGGGAGGAGACAGGTGGCTCGGAGATGGGGACCGGGAGAGGACGCAGGGAGAGGAGGCAGAAGCCAGGAGGGCTGGAGATGGATGTCCTGGGCAGGGGGTACGGAGGGAGCGTGCCAGGGAAGGCGGGAGGGAGCGCAGGGGGCCTCTGGAGAAAGCAGGGGGAGGGAGGGCGGGGCAGAGAGGAAATGAAAAAGCTGGGGCTTGCAGGCAAGATGAGTAGGGAGGGAAGAGGGGGGGAAGTAGGGAGAAGCTGACACACGAGACGAGACGGACACAAGACAGGAGACCTGGGAGCGAGGGGACACAGGAGGGACTGAGAGAGACTGCAGAGGTGTGGTGAGGAGGGCCTGGGAAAGCAGGGATGCGGAGAAGGGGCTAGAGGGCTGTGGGGGGGGGGGGGGGACAAGGGAGGCACAGAGACAGGCAGAGAGCAAGAGACAGAGACAGAGAAGGAAAGAACTAGGAGGCAGAGAGGGAAGGACGAGGCAGAGAGGCAGACAGAGGGACGGAAACAGACAGGAAGACAGAAGGGAGAGAAATATCAGACAGACAGACGCACACGCGCAAGGAGAACTGCCGAGTGACGGAGAAATCCCCAGGTGCCGGGAGGACACGGTGGCGCGGGACGTCTGAGCTGGCCGCAGACCCGGCTCGCCCTCATCCCCCAGCCCCCACCTCCCACCCCTGGGACCCCTCCAGTCCAAGCCGGCAGACGGAGGCCGGGATGGCGGATTCGTGCCGGAACCTCACCTACGTGCGGGACTCCGTGGGCCCGGCCACCAGCACCCTGATGTTCGTGGCAGGCGTGGTGGGCAACGGGCTGGCGCTGGGCATCCTGGGGACGCGGCGGCGGTCGCGGCCCTCGGCCTTCGCCGTGCTGGTCACGGGGCTGGCGGTCACTGACCTGCTGGGCACGTGCTTCCTGAGCCCGGCCGTGTTCGTGGCCTACGCGCGCAACAGCTCGCTGCTGGGCCTGGCCCGGGGCCGCCCGGCGCTCTGCGATGCCTTCGCCTTCGCCATGACTTTCTTCGGCCTGGCCTCCACGCTGCTGCTCTGCGCCATGGCCGTGGAGCGCTGCCTGGCGCTCAGCCACCCCTACCTCTACGCGCAGCTGGACGCGCCGCGCTGCGCCCGCCTGGCGCTCCCGGCCATCTACGCCTTCTGCACCCTCTTCTGCGCGCTGCCCCTGCTGGGCCTGGGCCAGCACCAGCAGTACTGCCCGGGCAGCTGGTGCTTCATCCGCATGCGCTCCGCCGAGCCGGGCGGCTGCGCCTTCTCGCTGGCCTACGCCAGCCTGGTGGCCCTGCTGGTGGCTGCCATCGTCCTCTGCAACGGCTCCGTCACCCTCAGCCTCTGCCGCATGTACCGCCAGCAGAGGCGCCACCAGGGCTCGCTGGTCCCCGGGCCCCGGGGGGGCGAGGACGAGGTGGACCACCTGATTCTGCTGGCGCTCATGACGGGCATCATGACCGTGTGCTCCCTGCCTCTCACGGTGAGTCCCCTCTGCCTCTGGGGTGGGCTGCAGGGAGAGGGTGGTGCCTGGCTCTGTGCTCCCTCAGTTGTGCCCATTTCACGGATGGGAAAACTGAGACTCAAAGAGGTCAGTGGCATTGTCCACGGTCAAGCGGCTCCTGACTTTCTGGAAAGCCTCTCCCCGTTTGCTTCTGCCCTGTTTGATTCCTCCTGATCCCTTGTCTTCCCCCTTCCACATCTCCAGCGTACCCCTCTGCAATTGAACGCACCCCCAACCTTCCTCTGCCCCTGTACTGATCAGATCCACCATCCATTAAGCACTTGCTCTATGCCCGCCCTGTGCTCAGATCATCTTCACAATTACCTTATGCATCCATTCCACAAGCATTTAGCAAGACACAGACAAAGCCGGGTCCTGTCACCATTTTACAGACGAGGGGCGATGTCTCTTGCCCACGACCACACAGAACCAGGTCTGGCCCCCGGGCTCCCGATTCTCAAGTCTCATCTCCCGGCCATGGTGTCCCCCACTTCCCCACCAGCCCCACCCGCCATCTGCTCTCGGAAGCTCCCGGCCTCGCCCCCTGCCTGCAGAAGCTCCCCCCCTGCTTTTCCCAAATCGCAGCTGGGCAGACCCTGCTACTGCGGCATCGAGTTACCCCACCCACACTCTGGGCCTCAGTTTCCCTTTCCGTAAGATGCAAGCTCTGGGCTAGATTTGAGGGTGGTCAAACCTTTTGGGGGTTACGGATGACTCAGAGGCTGAAAGTGGTGAAGAGACACAGGCACAGCCCTGGGCCCCACCCACATGGCCCCTATCTCTCATCCACTTGCCTCTGCTGGCGGGGTTTTCTGGTGCTTTCTCTCCCTCTGTTTCCCGGAGGTATTTGTTACTTAGTTTTCATCTCATTTCCTTCCCCTTCTGCCAGGCCACCCCTCCCTCATTCCTGCACATGAGCGAGTGGGAGGAGGGGGGCTGGGGTGGGGTGTGTGGGGGGATGGGTACTCCTTGACACCCTCACCCTGCCCCCAGATCCGCGGCTTCACCCAGGCCATCGCCCCAGACAGCAGTGAGATGGGGGACCTCCTCGCCTTCCGTTTCAACGCCTTCAACCCCATCCTGGACCCCTGGGTCTTCATCCTTTTCCGCAAGGCCATCTTTCAGCGCCTCAGGCTCTGGTTCTGCTGTCTGTGCCCCAGGCCTGCCCACGGCGACTCGCAGATGCCCCTCTCCCGGCCGGCCTCAGGGAGGAAGGACTCAAGGGCCCCCCCTGCTCTCGGAGAGAAGGAGGGGAGCTGGGTGCCGCTGTCAGTCTGGGGCGAGGGTCAGGGGGCGCCCTTGCCTCCTGCACAGGGATCTGACAGCACCGTGGGAACGCGGTCCAAAGTGGGGACCGCGGCTGCCTGCTCCGTCTGCTGACATCTGCCCCCGATCTCCGGCCCTGTCTTCCGGGAGCCTGAGCCGGATCATTAGGGGCACGGCCGAGGCTGTGGGCGGGCCAGCGAGAGATGAATCTTCTGCCCTCGCCTGCCAGAACCCTGACCCCCTGAATACAGGGGGCGACTCGCTGCTATTTCTCTTCCTTCTGGGTGGCCGTCGGAGGCTCTGGGAGGAGAAGGAGGGAGAGAGGAAAGGTTTATCCTGGAGCACAGACAGAACAGTTCTCTCAAAATAGCCAGTGGGCCGGCCGGCCTGGTCTGGCCCTGGCTGCCCATCCATCTCACTGCCTAAATATTTGGAAGGCGGAAAAGTTCCCAGCGGCTTCTGTGCACTCAGGTCTGCTCCGGTTAAGGTTCCGGCTCCGATGCTCATGCATTCAGGGTGCCCCGGCTGCCCATCCCAAATCCCCAGGGGCCCTGCCCTCTCCCGGGCCACTCCAAGAGCCACTGTCTCTTGACCTCATAGGAGCCAGGGATCCTTGGAGAAGCTCCCTGCTTCCCCTTGCTTCTGACTCTCCATCAGACCTGGGAGCCCTGGCCCCCCCAGGGGAGGTGGGAGGATGCGGAGACTCCTGCGCTGTGGGTGACACCGCTGGACACGTGTCGGCGAAACTGCACGGCTTGGTGGGTTGCAGGATGAGGCCTGTGGGCACAAGGGTGCTGGGGCAGATGGATAAGGTGGAGGGCCAAGGGCTGGGAGGTATGGATTCTGGGGACCATGAAGAGCACAGCGGTAAGTCCTGTGTCTGTGCCTGAATCCATAGCTGCCCCCTTCTAGAGCCTGACCTCACCTCTGGAGTCCTTGGAGCCCTTACAGAAATTTCATTCATTCAACAAATGGGGGCGGGGGGGGCTGACTCTGCCTGGTGTTGCAGACACAGACCAGTCTCTGCCCAGCCCTGGACTCTGCTGGGTGATTTCCAGCCTTCCGCCGCTCCTCCCTTCTTGTTCTCATCCCCGGCTGCTCAGGAGTGAGCAGAGCAGCAGGAAGGGAAGTGGGGTGAAAAGCTCCCCCCACCCCGGCCAGCCCCAGTTCTCCAGAATCAAGGGTGTTCGGGAATGAGCCAACTGGCATGAAGGGAAGTGTTGCTCAGGGGGGTGGCAGAGTGACTAGGAAAGCCGCCTCTTGTCCCCTGCCAGCCCCAGTTCCCCTTTCTCACATGCTCCTGGGTTGAAACAATAAATCCCCACCAGGGTGTTGGGGGGTAGGCGAGGTGCGGGCCTCCCGTAAAGACAGTCGTGGCGAACTTCAGCGAGGTGCACCCTCGCACTCCAGCCTACTGTTATGAGAGCCTTTCTGGGAGGCTGGTGTCCAGGTTCAGAGAGGGCAATCACCGGCCCCAGACCACGCAGCCAGAGAAAGCACAGTCTCAGGGTGGAGCTGATCCACCTGTCCTTAGAGCCCAGCTCACTTGTCCGGCTGGTGACTTCGCCTCCCTGGCCCTCAGCGTCCTTTGACATAGAACGGCCATCAGAATCTAGTATTTAGTTTACGGGGCTGTACTGCGGATTATAGGATTCGCTCTGAAAAGCAGTTTAGCACAGGGCTTGGAATAAAGCCCCCAATAAATGCTACTGTTATTGACGTCGATGTTGTTTCTATTGTTGCCTCTGGCTCTCTGGGCAAAAGTGGTTTGAAAAAAAGCAATGCTTTGCTCCTTTGTTTCGACTTTTTTTTTCAGTCTCTATGATTCAAATCATGGTAAAGAATAAGGGGCGTCTGGAAGAGTTAAAATAGGTCAAGATGACGGCTTCCTGTGGACGGGGTTTCCTTCCGGGGTGAGGAAAATGTTCTGGAACTAGATGGTGGTGGTGGTTGCCCAGCCTCCAGGATGTACTAAATGTCTCTGAACTGCACACTTGCAAATGGTTCAAATGGTACATTTCGTGTTATGGGTATTTCACCACAATAATAAAAAACCCCATGTAATACTGAAAAAGAAACTGAGGGTGCGTAGACACTGTTATGGCAGTCGCGACAGTCATCTGTTGGTTGAATTTAATAATGAAAAAGTTGACTTGTACAAAAATAGGTCAAGAAACACCAGGTGGGGTCTGGCCTTGGTCACCAAACCTGGCCTGGCCTCCATGGGAACCCAATCCTGGGGGTGGGGGGGTGAGGGGCTGCAGAGGGGCGTTTCTGGCTGGTGCCACGAGAGGGGGGCCTGCCTGTCCAGGCGAGACCCCCAAACAGGGTGCTCACCTCCTCTCTCTCTGTCTGCCCCCTCAGGGGGTCAGTTCTGTCCATCTGGCCTCTTAGGTGTCATTCACTAAATGCTGGGCGGGGCTGGGCATCGGAGCCCCCAGCCTCCTCGCCCGAGGTGGGTGCTATGTCAGACCCATTCTTCAGATGCGGGTTAAGGGGAGGAGAGGATTAAGCGCTGCAGCGGGTTTGCTGCTGGCTCTGACCCGGCAGGCCTAACATCTCAGGGATCCACCCCCTCCTCTGTGGCCCACTGTTGTCTCAGATCCCCCCCACCTCCGGCCTGGATGTCCACACTGCCTGCCAGGTCAGGGGTTTTCAAACAACTCCTGCCTCATCCGCCCACAGCCACTCTGGGACGATGTGGCAGCTGCTCCCTAGCTGGTGTCCTGCCTCCTGATGCTCCGTGTGTCCTCTCTGCTGCTGGCTGCCGCAGTCCTGTCTGGAAGGCTCTGTCCGGGCTGTGACCCCCTTGCCTGCAAAGCTCGAAGGGCTCCGGCTGCCTGGAGCCCCAGGGTCGACTCCCACGCTCTCTGCTCAGCCCCGGCAGACATTGAGGTTTCCCCAAAGAGCCCGTGACCTCTTGGGCCTCCACCTCCCGGCTTGCTGAGCTCACTCTTCCCGGAACAGCGTTTCCCCTTCTCCATTCCCCAAACACTTGTGCCCTTTAAGGTCCTGCTTAGACTACCCCTCCTCCTTGGAGCCGGAACGGCTCCTCTCAGGCCCGGAGATGGCACTCGCTGCAGCCCGCCTCGCAGACATTTGTCCATTCATCCAGCAGGCTCGTCCTGGGGGCTTTCTGTATGTCAGGGCTTGTCCCTGCGACACTGGGGACATGCCAGTGACAGAGACAGCCCTGGCCCTGCTCTCCTGGGGCTCACAGTCCAGAGTCGGCAGGGCTCGGGGTCAGGGAGGGGGAAGGCTAGGGGACATCCAGGAGGGCTTCATGGAGGAGGGGATGGCTGAGCCTGGGGATTGGAAGAAAGGGAGCTAAGTAAGGCGGAGTGTTCTGACTTGGGACTCAAATGCCTCCTTTCTTCGGCCTCTTGTTCATTCATTAATTCAGGATACATTCTCTTGAACCTGCTCTGGGCCCAAGGCTGCCCTCTGCCCACTGAGGGTGTAGCAACGACGGACACCGCCTTGGCCCTACCTCGCTCGCGATCCAGTGGGTGACAATTTAATCGTCACAGAAATAAGTACTACAATAAGCCGCAAAATACAAAATTACAAGCTGTGAGATGTCCCGAGAGAGCACAGTGTGGGGATCTGAGAATGTATACGAGACCTGTCCTCGTTGGGGCCGGGGGTCGAGGAGGGACATGCGAGGATGGGTCTGACTTCAAGGAGATGTCATTCCTTTTTAACTTCACTTCTTTCTCCCTTTCTGTATTCCTGCCACCGGGCCTGGCCACCGGCGGGATTTGAGCACACGTTCACACCGGGGCTGGTCCCGAGTCGCAGCTCTCCAGGGCCTTCTGTAGTCACTGCCCCACCTGCTGGTCACACTGGGAGTGACATTGAGAAGCGGCGGCCACTCTTGGGGAAGCGAGGGAAGCTGGACGTCCCTCATGCAGGCCCCGATGGGCACCCCGGTGTGTCCCTTGCCCAGTCACCTTCGTAGGACAGGCTTTGAGCTGGCTCAGCAGGTCTGAGAGCCTGACCTGGGCCTGGCGCCCACCGCGAGCATCTCTCTGCCTTGGAGTCGGCTCCCCTCAGCCTGCCCCGCGTCCATTAGAGGCTCAGAGAGCCATCTATGTGTCTTTGATTAATAAAGAATGGGAAAGGGAAGTCATGATTATTTAATAATGCAGCCTGTCTGGGAGTAACAGTCTTTCAAAACCGAGGGCCCGAGGGGGAACATAATGACGGGCAGCGGAGAATGCAGGTGGCGCGAGGCGGCGGTTAAAAGCCTGGGCGCTTGGGATGCGACTGATCTGGGGTTTGGAGCCCCAACTCAGCCACTTCCGAGAAGTGCGGCGCGAGAGGCTTTTCCTGACCCGGGCCTCCAGTCCCTTCCTGTCACATCTTGGTAGTAATGGATCTCATGCCCATATGCCCGCGGCAGAGCGTGCACGCCATATGTAGGTGCTGAACGTCATTCTCGCTCATCCGGCCTGGACGAGAATTAAATGTCTAGAAAGAGTGCTTGGCGCAACCCTCAGATGTGGATATTTTTAGGACCCTCCTTCCCTAGATCATCATTATTGTCCATTTTGCAGACTGGTAAACTGAGGCGTGGAGAAGTGAAGTCACTTGGGTGGACCCTGTGGCTTCATGAGCGCACAGACTCCCTGCAGGCAGTGGTCGTGCTGGGCTGGGAGCCCATTCCGTGGGTCCCTCCAGCCTGTCTTCCTCTCAACTACGAGGCCAGAATTTTCCCTGGGTCTCCTGGCTGCTAAGAGGGCAGCTCCCATCTCAGATCCCGCCACGCTGACCCCAGCCTCCGCCTAGCCTTCCCACTGCTCTGTCTCGGGCCTGCCTCAAGTCAGGGTTTTTAAAAAATGACCATTGACTCCAAAGCCGGGCAGCTGAGAGCACAGACGCCTTGGGGTCAGAGCTGGCTCAAATTCCAGCTCCGCCACTTTCTACTTGATGACCTTGGAGCGGTGTCTTCACTTCTCTGGCCTCAGTTTCCTAGCATCCAGCCCAAATGGCTGCTTGCAGGATTCAACGAGATCACGAAGGCAGAGCTTAGAAGCGGCTGTGGAGCAGGAAGCCCCCAGTGAAGACTGGCTGACGCTCACCGGGCACTCAGCCAGCCACGGCAGGGACACGCTGGAGCTGGTGGGCAACCCAGACCCTGAGCTCTTTGCCATTACACTCGACCGTCTTTGCCAAATGCCAAGCCACAACCAGACGGCAGAAAAAGGGGGCACCAAAGCTGGGGCTCTGGCAGGCTTCTCCATCCTTCCCAAGGCCAGGCGAAGAGGAGCGGGAGGAAGCTTTTATTCTGAACCCTCTCCCTGACTCCTGCCCAGGCCCTGTGGCGGAGTGAGAGCAGCTCGAAGTTGGATGTCTGCTCTCCATTCCTTCCCCTCGGAAAGGGAGCCGGTGGGATTCCTAGTCGGGGTGGGGCACGTGCATTCTGGGAAAAGCCCCCAAGGCCTTTGGTCCTCCCATGCCCACTTCCGGGAGGGAAGCTATGGAGCTTTCTGGAGTTTGCAATTGTTTCAGGCATTTGGTTTCAAATCCCCCTAGGTCCTGCGGCCTGTCCTGGAGTTGACTGACGCTGCGTGAGCTCAGGACCACACGGGACACTCCGGCCGCCTGACGGACAGTGACTCACTGGGGAAGGCCGTCCCTTCCCCAGAGCACGCTGTGGAGAATCCCCAGCCCGGCCTGGGCCCCGGGGGCTGCCCCTGCCTTCTTGCTCTTCCCTTGGACGGCACCCTTCCTTCCCCGGTGGGGCCAGGTGACTGCACGCCTTTCAGGTCTCAGTTCAATACTGCCTCCGCCTAACTGGGATGCCCTCGTGGCAGCTGGACCGGCCTGGGGCCTTCTCAGTTCTTGTCTCCCGTCATCCCTGGACTGACACAAGCCCTCCCAAAGGTGGGGTGCTCTCCCACACACACCTACGGCCAGCACTGAGCTGACTGCCCTCACTGCCGGGACGCACGCTGCCCTCAACACCCATGCCATCTGGCTGCGATCGGAACCTGGCCCAGGTCCCTAAGTGGCTGCTGTGACGAGGACTAGTCTTTCGAGCGAGCACGGACCACAGCCTCTTCTGGGCAGGGCCGCCGGACCCATGCAGGGTGCAGGCCCAGAAACCGAGGCAAGAGGGGAAGAGCCGAGTCAGGTAGTCACTGTATTTTATTGGAAAACATTGATATATATTTTTCTTCACAGCTTGAACACAATATTGCCCGGTTTTTTTAAAAAAAAAAACACAAACCCAAAACCGAAACACTCCAAAAATGTCCACAGCCTCATGCCTACCTGCCCTTACCCTCAGCTCTTGGCCGGGTCTCCCACCAGGCCCTCCCCACTTCCCCTCCCCTGAGTCTGGGTGCCAGAGCGGGGATGGGGAGAGACTCTCCAAGCTGGGCAGGTCCCAGGAAAAGCCACTTGATCAACCTGGGTTGGGGGGGAGGGGGCAGATGAACGGAAAAAGGACACAAAATCCAGATGACCGAACTGCCCACATTGACTTACTTGTCCCAGAGGCGAAGGTCAGAAGCAAGGTCACGGATCATGCTCTCCGCTGGGGAGCGTGGGGGCAGGCAGGCGGGCGAGGGCAGAGGCGGGGAGAGGACAGCACAGATGGAGGGAGCCAGCCGAGTCACCACAGAGAAGCGGGAGGGGCCGGCGACCAGGACAGAGCTGCCCCCGGTTGCCGGTGCTCCGGGCAGCCAGCCGCCAAGCTTGTTTTATTGCAG